CTGTGTGCAAACAAGAGCAGACATTTCATATTTTTGCATAAGCACATTTCACAAGCTACTCGGCGATGCATTTGTTAATTATTGTTCTGGTTCAGCTGAAGTGGTAACAACCATTTTAGAAAACAAAGAATAAAAAAACAAAACAATGGCCTACTTTTCACAGGACAACAGAACCTATAAAATATAAGAATACATGTATTTAATCTAAAGCCTGTATACTATTTAATATGTTACTAAAGAAAGACAGTACTGTTTGATCACTAACTATATTATAGAAAATTACCTAGAGTATCAAAACAAATTCTAAATATGGATTGCAATTGGAAAAACGTATACAATAAGTAAACAAGACCGCGGGAAATTACACTGTTGAAAGACCTAAATGATGAAACTTAATTTAATTAACGATTTTGTTCTTTAACCAACTCTTTTACCTCATTCACACCAACGCAACTCCGGTTCAAGCTCCGTGCTAGAGCTTTTCAGGTTCAGAACCGGTTCTTCGGTTTAGCTCCGGCTCTTTTCACACAGCCCAGAGTCCGACTGGTGCTGCGTCATTGCGTCATCGTTTCATAAAGCCAACCCGCGTAGGAAACCCCTCACAGCTGAAACCGACAACAACAACAATGGCCGATTGTGCTCCAGCTTCCTCTGTACCTCTTCAGAAGACCAGCTTNCAATTCACAAAGGGATTAAACTGTTTAAAACACATGCTCAAAGTAAGCCGGATTTTTCCGATGTGTTTATGTGGATTCAAAAGTTGTAAATAATCTACAAAATGGAGGAGACCGATCTGATCGGAGCAACTGAGACAAATAATCCAACTGAAACCGGCATGGACAATGACTATGTTTTAAAAATGCGCTTATCCAGAAAAGCCTGGTTTGGACACTTTACGGGCAGAAGAAACATTTCTATTAAAGAAAGAATTATACATTTCTGTCTTTTTATGCCTTTAATACTAACTTGAATTGTTATTAAAATTAATTAATCAATTATTTTTTATATTGTAATGTAGAGACAAGGCTTTTAGTGACAATCATGTATTGCTTTACAATTATATGTAAAATATGATTGGCAACCACTGCCCTATACGATCATTTCCTGATAACGATGAAGCCATAGCCCCGCCTCTCCTCACCTCTGCTGCTCACTGCTGTAGCATGCTACAGCTACGGACCATGCTACAGATGTTAGTGCAAAATCTACAGCTCCTCTACCACAACCATCAGCAACAAGTGGACATGGAGAATGACATGAACTCCATGTTGCTAAATCCACCGCGGGGCATAAACAGAATGGCAACCATGGCAACCACGCTCCGGGGTCTTCTTCGCTGCTTTTGGTGTATTTTGTGGCGGCAGCAGCGCCACTTACAGGCCCGGCATATGTACTACAGCGTCTCCAGCGGGTCAAGCGGTCTCGCGTGAACGGACACGTTAATTGAGCCGAATGCGTGTGAACGGAACTTTTTTTTGAAAACGAATTAGGTGCGTAAACGTTCCCGTGTAAATGGGATCTGTTTCTTCTGATGAGAACGCTTTCAGATCTCTGTATCTTTCAAGGAGTCGTCTGCAAAGTTAAAGACAACATAAATGTTCTGTATTCATCGACTCAGAGCTGAAAGACAGTGTTTCTCCGGCTCTTCAGTAATCCTTATATCTCTCTCTCTTCACTTTGGCTCCGTGTGGTGAGGGTCTTTGTTTGTCCTTGCAGCTGAAACGTGCTTTTACAAATACACTTTTCTTGCATTTTCTTGTGAAATATTGCAAACTTTCTCAACTCTATCCAAGTCTATGTCACGCTAATATATCGTCTGAAAGCTCTCACTTTGCACACAGAGCCTTTTATACGTCACTTGTTCTCGTAACTCGACATGTTAATGAGCCTCTTCACAGTTTACACTATAAGGCTCATTTTTCTCCCCCTGTGTGTGACCTCCACTCGTGTTGTTCTCTCATATACCCACCGTCCTCTCTTCCTGTTTGCACATGGGTTGTGTGCGACGGTCATTATCTTCCCCCTCCACGGTCAAACGGACAAATTAGTACACGTGTCAGCGAGCGTATGATGACGTGTCAAAACTCTCATTAGTGTCCAGAGAGAGAGAGGAAACGTGTCCTGGGTCAGAGAGGGGAGAGAGGGAATGAATGTATAATTATCTTTATTGAAACAGAGAAATATCAGGAGAACAGGATTGTAATTTACAGATTGGAGGTTGTTGAATATTTGGTCAATTATCTGATATAAGAAGTACGGGCTAAAGTAAAGAAGTACGGGCTTTAAAATGTACTTCAGTAAAAAGTACCATAACTAGCAGCTGTTTTAAAGAGTACCTGACCTCCCTTTATATTAATAGAACAATAATGTCATTGTTAGCTAATGAATGTTTCCATGCTGAACAACGGCAACATGACAACGTTTTCATTGGTCCCTCTTCTTTAGAGAAGAGCAGGAAATGATGGATACACGGATCGTGTTCAAATCAATAGGCACGCAATGACTCTAAATAATAATGATCACGCCACAAAACACACATTCAGACTA